TAAGCTCTTTTCCAGACCTTTGACAGTTCCCCTGTGCTCCAGGAGTTCTAAAAGATTTCATTCATAAATCTTATCGATTTTGCCTATTTTGACCTGCATTCCTGTTCTGTCTCCCATAGTGCTGCTTTTGATAGGTTGGGCTATTTTCCTTTTTGCGTAAAGGCAGAGGAAAGAAGGAATTAAGCAGTTCTACTTTTTCCCTGCCTGTTTGATCTGTCATAGGATAGATTTATGCAAGGGTGGGTACAGAAAGAACAACTGTGAAGGAGATTGTTGGCATAGGCAAGAATGAGGAATAGCAAATATAAAACAAGCAAAATAAATACAAATAGCATTGTGCTAGATTTGATGAGCCACGGAATCCTAAGTATACTTGGAAGTAAATCTTCCTTCTGAACAAATAATAAACATTATTCTACCCCAAATTCACATAAACAATTCAAAAAAGGGATTGGGATTGTGTAAGGGTAGCGGTGGAAATATGCTGTTGGTTTCTACAGGTCCTTTGATGCAAGAATAAAAGCACATCCTCATCCACAAACTGATGTTGTCAAGTTTAATCACAGGCTGTCTTGTCTTTTGTTCCCCCCCCTTCATGTTTTCTTGTCTTGTATATTCCATTTTATTCAGATATTTAGTGGATGATGAGGCCACTCCTTTGATTTTTTTCTATTTTTAGCTCTCAACAAATTTGCAGAAAAATTTAATAAAACTTTGTAAAGGAAAATGTGCAATTTGCAACTGAAAGCTGTTTTGACAGCTCAGAATATAATTACTTTGAATACAACAAACTAGCCTTATTACTGATTTAAAAAAAATTCTGAAGCCGTTTAAACTAGAAGTCTGTTTTATTTAAGTCTTCTCTCTAAAACCAAAAATTAACAAAGTAATTAAATGAAAGGACTGGTTTAGAGTAATCTCCCAAGACTCAGAGACCTAAGTTTAGAATAATCATACAATTGTTAAAATAATTTTCTTAGAAGTGTAATAAATATTCTAAATTAAAGAAAGTTGAATTCAAAAGAAATAAAATGACCCTATCTATTGGAATATTTAGTTTCATTATTTTTCATGTCGGCTCTCTCTGTGTCCCTGCAAGTAATGCTGAACTACAATTTTGAATGAGTTTAATTCCTAAACATATGGGAAATTCTTGGAGATTCAAAGTCCCTGCTCTCCTTCTGGTAAACTCTGAAGATCTGGTTCTTTCTCCAGGCCTTCGATTAGGATGAATGGAGGAGGAGGAGGAGGAGGAGGAGGAGGAGGAGGAGGAGGTAGGCCTTTGTGAGAGTTCACTTGTGGGTCATTCCTTCCGGTAAGCTGTTGTTATTTTTTGACTAATTATTTTTCATCCTCTGTCTGCCTAGACTCATTTTTTTTGGAGTCAGGTACCCTTATAAATATGTCAAATAAATCAGGGGTCTCCAACCTTGGCAACTTTGTGGACTTCAACTCCTAGAATTCTGGGAGTTGAAGTCCATAAGTCTTAAAGTTGCCAAGGTTGGAGACCCCTGAAATAAATAGTATCCTCCCAAATCTTAGCAGAGCACCAGATTAGAAAATATTACTACGTTCTCCATTGGAACTAATTTTTTTTAAAAAAAGGATTGTAGTTCAGCATTACAAGGTGGGGGAGGTATACAGGAATTGTTTACATTACTACTGAGTAGATATATAGCTTATTGTATAACATATTACTCTATATTTATTTACTTTTTTGTTCCTTAACAGAATTATGTATGGAACTAAATTGGAAACCACAGTCCAGGGTAAACCAAGATTGCATAATTCATTGTTTAAACTAAAAATAATCAGAGCAAAGTTAACATGTACCACTCTGAAATAAAATGTCGCCATTGTTGCATTTATTAGGATTTTGACAGATTCTGCTACTCTTCATCAGGAAACAGGTTTCAGAAAGCAGAATGAAGAGTAAATAATAAAACAAGAATAAAACAAGACAGAGAAGGCTTCCCTGATGAAATGGAAGAAAATATGCGTAATTGAATAGTTTAGGCTCTATTATGAATTAGAGCATTCAGGTTATGTTCAGGTTATGTTAGATGAGCAGAACTAATCCGCCCATTTTTAAAAATACATAATCTAGTTCTTATTTGGATATGTTTCTAGTCTTAGGTGACATACATTCTCTTGATAGGTAGTGAACTAAATGTAAATCATGTTATTAAGTTTAAATAATATGTAAAGAATGATTGGCCAAGCTCTCAATACCATTGTCTCTCTAAAATGCAATGATAATAATTATAAAGGATTGAAAAGAAAATTAAAACACTTTACCCACAAATTAAGTAAAAAAAAACCCCACCCATTTCAATACAAAAAGATTGCACCATATTTGCCTGAAAAAAAAATCAGTCTTCAATTTAAGGTATTTCCCTTCCCCATTCCCCCACCATCAACAACTCTAAAGACAAACTAACAGCACTAAAGACAAACAACCCTAAAGACAATTTTCTACATTGTAGAAAAACTACAATGTAGACAAAAGCCCTGTGGCGTGTTGAGCTTCCAGTATAAGTACTAATTCTATTTGAATTCAGTCCTGGAAATTTCCCCTTCCTTGGTAAATGGGTTTAGGTCACACACACACACACACAACTATCATAAACCTTATTTGAAAAAATAGCAAAGATAGGACAAACAAAAATATTAACTGAATTAATAATTACTGATTATTAATTACTGATAAAATAAGGTACTGAGTTTATAACATTTATTATCTAGATGCATATACCAACCATTATGTTTCGGCATACACAAATCATTCCTACACAGAAGCACAGAAACATACCTTTCTACTTCCAGAGAAACAACAAAGAAATAGGAAATAGATGGAGATGAAGTGAGGGGAAGGAGTGGCTTTACACAGAATGAAAGAAAAAAGAAATCCTGCTTAGACTTTAGAAAAGGGATTAAAATTGATCAGGAAAATATCTTCAAACAAACCTTCAGGCATCTATGCTTTTCAACAGTGATATCTTCAGTCATTTGCATCATCTCCCCATTTTTTTTTTTCATTCTCAATGACAGTTTCTTTTCTTTTCATTCAATTCACAGGTAAGTATTTTGGAGGAAATACTTTCCTTTCTTGGTGAAAATCGTACGGAAGTATTGAAACATCGTATACAGTGGAGATGGATATAAAACAGCCTGAGCCAAAAGTACAACTATGGGAGGACTCTCTGATTAATCGTTTTAACGTATCTCCATCAGGGCCGGATTTAGATGAAAAGAGGCCCTAGGCTATTCCACTTATGAGGCCCTTTCACCTATAGTGAAAGTGTAATTTTAATTTTGCTAACAATTTGAATGTAGGCCCCTCTTGATCTTGAGACCCTAGGCTGAAGCCTAGTTAGCCTATAGGAAAATCCGGCCCTGATCTCCATTGTGGAATGACAAATGCTGAAATGATTCCAGCTTTGGAGTTTTCTTCCTGAGTTATGCTCATCTTGCCATAGGATTTTGCTTACTTTGGCATCCCATTTTGACTTCCAGAGACTGGGTCTGAATTTTCAGACTCTTTTAGCTGCAACATAAGAGAAGAAGTGGGCAAAGAAAGGGGTGGGGTTCTCTTTTCAATACCCAGCTGATAGAAGTCTAAGAAATGCAGAAATGAAAACCAAGTGAATTTCAAAATGTCATTTTTGCCATTTTGGAATTAATTCAGGAAAACAGTAGGGTAGAACCTCTGATGGTGTTATACAGTGTTCTTTGGGCTCTTTTTATATACATGGACAATTTGGACATGGAGTCCAAATTGTGCAAAGAGATTGGTTGAGGTCCCTCAGTGCAGCCCCCCCCCCCAATTTTCAGAATTACAGTGCAAGTGCTCTCTTCCTCATGCGTTACAACTTCTGGAATAATAGCACTGCTAGACTGGAACCTCTGCTTTGTTTTAAACTTTGCTGTTTTGAAGAAACAGCAAGGATATAGTTTAGCATGATTTTAGAGGTGGGAAGAAGTTGAGCGATCATTGTAGAGCGTCCTTTCCCAACAAACCAGGTCTTTTAAATGAGTTGGAATTTAATCTCCCTAAGTAGAACTATCACGTCTGGTGTGCAAATATCTGGATGCCCACTGGATAGAAACCAACTCTTCTTTGCTCTTTACTGGACATCTGGAACATTGCAACCCTACCATACTATGCTAGCTCAAAGAATGGCCAACTGAAGTCCAACACGTATGGAGATTACCTAATCTATGGAAGCTTTGGATCTCCTTTGGCTTTTATTTTGATGACTCAGGTTGCTGCAATGATTAACTCTGTGTTCTGTTCAAAAAGCATTAGGCATGTCTGAGCATGATATTCAGCTTGAATCAGAAGAATCATCAATGTTTTAGAGCTTTTGTTTGAATTCTAACATTTCTGCTGCTCTTTCAAGGTTGTAATAACAGAAAGCTGTTCCATTCTGTTTCGTGATTTCAAATGCTTTGGAGGACTGCTTGAGGTATTTTACTGCTGAATAATAATCATTCATCCAGAAAAGCATTTTAAATGGCCCAACACTAGTATTTTGAAGAGGTATTCACAGAGAAATTAAACTGCAGTATAGTTTGAACCAAATATAGGAATATTAAATTGTTTCACACATATATACAACTCACTCCTTCCAAAATCAAAGAAGCAAATGAAAAGATATATGAAACATTTAACCTGACCGACATCTTAAAGTCCTCAGATTTTAATGATAATAATAATAATCCCTTCTCTTAGAAATCAAAATATTTTTAAAATAGCTTTAGGAAAACATAACCAGGTGAGAGATGACTTTTAACATAATGATTTTTGGAAAGACAGACAATAAGCAGAGATCTGTATAAAGCCCAATTTGACTTTGAATTTGGCACGTTTGTCTACTAAAAGTCTGAGTCTATGTCTGTGTAAAAGTGTCCATTAAAGACGCCTCTAGCATTGAAAAATATTCTCAATGAAGAGTTTCAAAGAAATGTAATAGTTTTGCCTATGTTCTTTTTGACAGGATAATTGAAGCAATTTGCATCGGCTGGTTCACGGCAGAGTGCATTGTGAGGTTCATTGTCTCCAAAGACAAGTGTGAGTTTGTTAAGAGACCACTGAACATCATTGACTTGCTGGCTATCACTCCGTATTATATTTCTGTGCTGATGACAATTTTTACAGGTGAGAATTCTCAGCTTCAGAGGGCCGGAGTCACCTTACGGGTTCTGAGAATGATGCGGATTTTTTGGGTTATTAAATTGGCCCGCCACTTCATCGGCCTCCAGACACTCGGACTGACTTTGAAGCGATGCTACAGGGAGATGGTGATGCTGCTCGTCTTTGTTTGTGTTGCGATGGCAATTTTCAGTGCTCTTGCCCAGCTTCTTGAACACGGACTGAAAATAGGAAAACCCAATGAAGGCTATGCAAGCATTCCTGCTGCTTGCTGGTGGGTTATCATCTCCATGACCACAGTTGGTTATGGGGATGTTTGTCCAATCACGATACCTGGAAGGATTCTTGGAGGGATTTGTGTAGTCAGTGGAATTGTTTTGCTAGCCCTGCCTATTACATTCATCTACCACAGCTTTGTGCAGTGTTACCATGAGCTCAAGTTCCGGTCTGCTAGGTATAGCAGAAGTCTTTCTGCAGAATTTTTAGATTAACAAATAGCACATATTGCATTTCATAGCAGAACTTAATATAGTGAAGAAAGTAGTAAGTTCTTCCTCATTGTTTTCCATCTTGGTATCTGAGGAATTATGAAGCTGGTACAATACTCTGTGACTTAAGAGGAATATCTCCCTGTTCTGTTTGAGGAAAGGTCTGTTTGAGGGAAGGTCACTTGCTCTTCACCTCAGAAGAGCCAAGATTCATAAGGGAGAAAACATCTTCATTTTCATTGTCTCAGCAGGTGTGAAAGTTTCCACACTCATTTCTCCAAATACTGAGAAGTCCTAGATGGTATGCACTATTTAGAGCTGAACGCATCTATGTGTTTTTAAAACACTCTTGATTTTGAAATGCATTTCAAATGACATATCAATAAGAAGTGTCCAACTGTTAATTACCAGGACCACACGTAACAGCCTGTGGATAGTCAAGGGCCAAGATACTGGAGACACAAAGGGGCAGAGCCAAGATGTTCTTTTTTTTCCCCTTCAAAGTTTTGATCAGAAAGGAAGAGTTGCTGTTGTTTTTCAAACCATGGTAAGTCTATTTTAGGGCATTCTGGAGGTATATCTCATGTCAAAATGGCAGAAAATGATGCCACCAACTTTTAGTAATTATAGTCAGAGGTGGATCCAGAGCTGCAAATGAAATGGTTGGGGACAAATATATTCTTGTAGGCCTTAAATTGCTCCCTTCATAGATACAAAGAAACATATTCACCCAAACATATACATTTTTTTTAAAAAAAAAATACTGGTCAGATCCAAGTTTATGTAGAAGAAACCCATGAAAATGACTGAGATTCGTTAGCTATCACTATTTTGTCCAATTTATTTCAATTTTTGAATTTTTTCTAAGAACATTTCAGTTTGGATTTGACACAATACATACAGGTCTTGGTTTCAGTATAAGGAACAAAGTTACTGGTATTGTACGCAAAGCATTATGGGGAAATTGTGATTCTTTATGTTGAAATTTACATGAAAGCTACTCTTGAAAGTTGGGTATCTTGATTCAGTGTGGGGAGGACAAGCTGCTTTTCCGAAAGGAAAAAGCTAATCAGAATCGTGGAATACAAATTGAATAGTAATAGTAATAATAGTAGCAGTAATAGTAATAGTAGTAATGAAGGTCAATCTTCAGAATAGACCCAGTGAAGGTCCTTGGATTGTAGCTTTTTGTTTATGAGTTGCAATTTATAGCAGGGGTGTCCAATCTTGGCAATTTTATATCAGTGGATTTCAATTCCCAGAATTCCCCAGCCAGCATTTTGGCTGGGGAATTTTGGGAATCGAAGTCCACAGGTCTTAAAGTTGCCAAAGTTCGACATTCCTGATTTATAGCAATAGTACAAATGTTTTTGAAAAAAATCATTGTCCTCTTTCCCAAAATCTGCTATTGAAGGCAAACCCTAAGGCAAGTTTAAAATCTTCCTGCAGAAAATTGACATGATATTTTGAAGCACATAATGGCCAAAAACTGGAGATTTAAAAATATACCATTGCTAGTACCATGCATGCTCTTTTTTGTCATCCTTTCCAGTTACAGGCCTTGCACATTTCTTCAACAATGTCAGAAAAACAAAGTTTGAACAGATACATAATTAGATAAAGGAATGATATTTGAAACATGAACAATGATTTCTATTTCTCATCTCTCATGAAGAGTATTTATATTTTTTCCTATTAATCGTACGTAAAATATCCTCCTTAATGTCAGATGCCCTGAGATCAATCATTTTAAAATACTACTATAGAGTTTTTCTCAGAAGCTTATTCAACTAAAAACTTACTAAAAGTAAACTGTATAATTTATTTTAATATAAAAACACTGGTTAAAAATTATTCCGAATCCTTTCAGTGAATTGAAGAATGACGAACATGGCAGTCAAACCATTACTGCATTTAATGAGATGCTTTATGGTGCTACTGTCACTTTAGGAAATAATCTAACTTTGTTAAAGTCAAGTAACTCTGTATTAAAGCATTCAAAATCAGTAAAGTTTCCAGATTAGAGATTCACAGTTTAGATGAGAATCTGTCATCTCTGGAGGTTTTTTTCTGATATATTTTTCTGTGGGCCTATTTTTTTTCACCCTTTTAAAAAAATGTCTAGGATTCCAATCCTAGTAACTTTTACATGGCAATAAGTCAAAGTGATACAATGGAACCAAAGATGAATTATTGAAGAGAGCTGTCATGAAACATAACTTTGAACTTTGACAATTTGATAGATGTTTTCAGAGAGGGTTTGCTATGTGAACTAAACATGACTTATGCAGCAAACTAAACTTCATTACTATGAAGACTTGTAAAAAATACCTTGAATTTCCCCATATCACAATACAATACCAGGGTGATGGTTATTGATGAGTTCAGATCCTTGCTGCTCCATGACATGAATAAACAGCTTTGTGTAGGCTTTTGTCTCACAGTTCAAATCAGAGATTATTAAGAATGTTAGGAGATACTGGATGAATCAGGCCACTGCCCATCTTGTGCCCTCTTCTGTCTCACAGAATGATCAACTTGATAGCTTCAGGCAATAACATTCATTGGCTATTGTTTGCCAGCAGCTGATGTTTTGAAGTGTGTTATCTGGGATTTATAAGGTAATATTTAGCTGCTCAGCCTACCTTGCACCCTTAAAAACATAAAAAATAATGGCCATTACTGTAGTTGAGGACAATGAATTTCATAGTTTTAACTACCTGTTGTACAAAGAAAACTTTTCTTTTATCAATCCTGTTGTGTGAATAAAATAGATAATGCCATAACTCAGACCTGAGTGCCTTGGAGGAAGGATAGATACAATTGTGACAGTAAATATACATAGTTCCCTAGGGAAATAGAACAAATATATACTTGATATATGGAATAATTCTCCAAATTAAATTTTGTGTGGAAAAGGCAATTGACTGTATTCGTCCAGTTTCTAGAGAAAAAAAACCCAAACTATCTAGCTATATTTCCCCTGAGATTATTTTTATAATCATGAGCACTTTCCCCTTTTTAATATAATAAACATATTTTGGATTATCACCAAATTTATATCAACTATGTTGCATTCAAATAGGATTTATTATCTTCAAGTCCAACAGTGATTCTTATTAAAAGAAACATATCTGAATAAACACCCTTCCAAATAATTTATTGACTGAACAAATGAAAATAAAACACTGATATGCAAGAGGAGCTGCTAGCTCAATGTAAGTTGTACTATGTAAAATATAGCATGTATATGCATTCTATATTAAATGTAGAACTGATTTTTTTTTAAAAAAAACATGTTCTTGTACTACTTAGTGGTACTATTTATATGACTTGAACAGCTGCCATAATGACCTGACTTTGTGCAGAAGAGGAATAAGAAATAATAAGCCAAAGAAATTAACCAATGAGGTAAGAAAAAGGAAAGTCAATATTTTAGTTTACACCAGAACCATTCAGTCCTCCTCTTCTTATCTTTCTACACTTGCAAATCATCCTTGTTGCACCCCTGAAAATCATCATCGTGATTTTCATCACTCCATCATTTCACCAGGCATTCCTTTTCATAGCTCCTACATTTCTGTGTTACGCTGTAACATGATTCTTTTCATTCATGCATTGTCCTTTGTTGCTCATAATTTTCACGTCTCCCTTTTAAAGTTCTCATCAACTCTACCTGACCGTGACATTTTAAGTTTCCCCTTTCCATTTGACCCATTCACTCTTCCTTCATATACTTGTTTTGCAATTCATTCTTATGACCAAACCAGCTCAACATATTTTTATGCTGTTCATTCACTTGCTACCTTTTCCCTAATTTGGAGAACAATGATGTCTTTCTTCCCCAGGTGCATTTTCACACATATATTAGGCAAATTACAAAAGTTTAGAATGGAAGCTACATCCATATTTTAATCTTTCTCCAATTATACCATCAGAACTTGCAGATTTATCATGTACTCACAGCATTTATTAGTTCCATTTTTCTTGAGCATTGAGGGGTTTTCTTTCAACATACTGCTGTCATTCCCATATACTTCTCTAAAATTCTTCTTTCAGGATTCCCCTATTTTGATTTCATTCTAAATCAGCCATCAGAATTGCTCTGCATTTTCTTTTCATTTTTCTTAGCTGTTCCTTGCTCTCCTTGATTACAATCTTTGCAACTCTTTTTTCTATTTTTCTTATGTGTCTATTTTTCAGTCATAGCCTCTTTCACTCCATCATTTCACCAGGCATTCCTTTTCATAGCTCCTACATTTCTGTGTTACGCTGTAACATGATTCTTTTCATTCAATTCCAAGGAATTTTTATATTCTCTTGCTGTATGTTCAATTTCTATTCACTTTGTTAGATAACATTTGTCTATAATATTTTATAGAATTCATTTCTCTTTTTGCAAGTATTTCATTACAAGCTTTTTTTGCATCCTTACTTTTCTTTCATGTCCATTATTCTATCAATTATCTCATAAGGAATCATAATAATTATTTCAATAAGACTTTTAAGTCAATCTTTTTTCATGTGTATGCATGAATAGACATGCTTAAAATAAGTATTTATATATTTTTATACTATAATAATCATGACTCTTAGCAGCATGCAAAAATAAAACATCCATTACAAACATAAATGCACTAATAACATTCAGAAATGGAATAATAAACCCCCCCAAATAAAACAACATATATTCTGATAGCATTATTTAACAATAAATCTGGTTTGCTATAATGTATAAGGTGCTGGACTAGAAACCAGGAACCCGTGAGTTCTAATCAGGGGTGGGTTCTACTTACCTTCACACACGCGCTCTTCTGCGCATGCGCAGAAGCATTCTGATGACATCAGAGTCGGTGGGCGGAGCCTCCTGCTGGTTTTACTATTGGTTCTATAGAACCGGTACGAACCAGGGGCAACCCACCACTGGTTCTAATCCTCCTTTAGGCACAAACCCCAGCTGGGTGACTCTCTAGGTCAGTTTTCTCTTTAGCCCAAGGTTGGTAGAGATTATAAGAAAAAAAGTAGGCAGGAGCATTATGTGCAGCATCTTGAATTGTGCAAAATAAAGTTAGAATATAATAATAATAACTCATACTAATTCTAATTTTAAAAAACTTCTGGAAGGTTACTCTAACTTGCTTTCATATTTCAGAGGTAGACTGTCTACAACATGGCAGCATGAGAGAAAAGTACTTCCTCCTAAGATCTGTTCCCTTTATTTCATAGTCCTGGGGAATTGCCTGTATTTTTATGATGATGTTTATATAGGATGGATTGATTCTACTATTTGAAATAACTGAACCTTTTTTTAAGACTCTTGCCAATCACCATTCTTGTTCATTCTTGAGTCTCTGAATAAGCCAATCATTTTTCTGTAATTTTTGAGCAGGACTTTTCACTCATCAATTCATGTCAACTAGCAGAATAGTTCTTTCTTCCCGACCCCATTATGTTAATTCAGAATGTGGCACAATTATTCCCAAAACTCATCTCTGGTCCTTCCATTATCATCATTCTCCAAAGCACAAATGTCACCAACCTATGGAAATCTGCTTTCATACACACACAACAGAAACCTAGATGACACTGATGTAACCGCAGGATCAGTGACGGACCCAGATTGGATCCTGCAACATTATCCTGTGGGACACATATATTCGCCTTCATTCATAGATATAACTTTCTGACATCCACAACTGAAACTACTCCTTCTCTTATTCATATACTCATGAGCTACCCAAGATCAGGCCACATTCATTCAGATTGGTTGTCGGCATTAAGATTATGTTTTGATATCTGCCATATATTTCAATTTGTGTACACACCTAAGAAAACAATAAAGTTGTTACATGTCTGTGTTCAGAATAGATGTTCTTTCCTATATATCTTTATCAGCCAGAGGCTATTATTTATTTAATTAACCTGTTTATTATTTATTACTGAGCTTCTGTTACTTCATGTCAGGAAAAGATGCCTGTCTATACAAACTGGCAGTCACATTCTAATCTATGAAAAATCAAATGAAAGCAATGGAATAAGAAATGTAGATGTTTTGCTTAATCATAGAACATTTAGATAACTGGACCAAGAAGACCTATGAGCCCCCGAAGCAAACTTCATCACATAAGAAATGAAATACACATAATAAAACAGGAAAATGTGATGCTGTGATGATTAGATTTGAAAATCTAGATTTGAAATAAACCTATCAATACCGATCTGGAAATAAGTTGTTATTGCATGCAATGAAAAATTCTCTAGAATAAGCATGTTTTAAGATTTCCTTGTTTACATAAAGGGGTCAGCAGAGTAACTTAATCTTAAAATACTGAATCCATCCAAGAAATTTAAAATGTATTTTGATATTGTGACTGATATTTTTTAATAAAGAAATTTGAAACATATGATGATGTTTGTTCTTTCAGCAGGTAAGGTATCTATTTAAATGAATGATATTCAAACTTTATCATGTCTTTACAATGTAAGCTCTATTAGTTTTAGTGAGATGTCCGCTGATATATATATTAAAATAAAAAACTCTATTCTTTAATCATACCTGTTCCAGTCTTTATCAAAAGATTTTTGTAGCAACAGGTTATGCTGTTTTTACAGTGGATTTGTAAAAGCAATGTATATTATTTTATCACTGAACAACTTATAGTTTGAATTGCTGTAGGTTTTAAAGTGTAAAAATGATTGCGTAGATTTCATTTTAATATCACATTATTTTGAACAGGAAATTAAGAATCCTTTATGGTGGCTATTCTGAGCAATGCTTGTTCATGTATAAGTGGTTGTAGAAGCCAACTGCCAGCTCTTTAACATAAAAAAACCCTTAAGAGTTCCTGTTCCCTTTTCATCTACCAAAAGATATTGCTTGTCAGTCACTGATCCTGTCCACTGAATTCAGTTCTCTCATACATTTTCTCCCTAAATGGGTTATGGTCAATGAATGATTGACAGTTACTTTTGCAAATTTATGCTTGATTTTCTGTTTTTTATTGTATTTATAAATTTAATAAAATAATTTAAAATAATTAAAGGAATTAAAAGATTCAGGTAAGGTGCACTTTAGTACTGCAACACATATATCAGAAGTCATTGTAAAGGATTATGACTCTTAATATATTGCAAAACCCCTTTGGTGACTACCTAGTAGTTCAAGTTGATTTATTCCATATCTTCCTCAAAAAGCTGCACTCTAAATCTTATGTCATTTTATTTTGGGTTGCTAACACATTCAATATAAAATGCCTCATTATTTTAAAAGATTTCTTTGGATTCCCCCCGCTCTTTTTTAAATACTTAATAGAAAGGAGACATGACACTAATACACACATACCTTTTTAAGCTAAATTAGTAAGTACATTCTAAGATCTAAAGGAACACTATGCTGCAAAATCTCACTAATATGAAAAGTAATTTTCACCCATTTTCTAAATGCCTTAGAACAAATCCTCTAACAAAGCGTAAAATCCGCTCTTTCCTTCCCACACACCTAATAAATACCCTTGCAATTACCATTAATCTTGGATAATCTTGAGTCATGTATAATTGTGTGAAAAATGAACAGGCCTTCTAGAAGATGGTTGTATGTATGCACCCCAAATGCATTGATGGGATCAATTTGAAAAGCATGCCATGGCCAAAACAGAGAGTTGGTCTATATAGCCTTTGGAATACAAGATGCTTTAGCTAGGGTAAAACCTATCCAGAAAGAGAAGCGTAAGTGATATAGAAATCCAAATTAAATCCATTTCCAGTGTAAAAATGAACGAGTTTGATTAAATGGCTCAGCTGTTCTGATAGAAAATATGCTTTGTTTCTGATCCAGAGTAGGACTTGAATTATAGCGATAAAAACATGATGGAAAGAAGAAGGAACTTAATGCATCTCTGTATCTGAGTTAATTCAAATAAGGATTAAAATATGAAACAAAAATACAAAATAATTCAAACATCTGAAAATTCTAGAAACTGTAGTTCCAACATATCTGGACTGGCTCAGCTTGGCTCAGAAGTTGAGATACGGCAAAACATAAGGGAGGGGTTGTTTATATGATTCAGAAACCTTCCTGATCTATTTAAAATTTCCCAGAGACTTACTAGTATATGGCATTTTGTCTTGTTTTCTGCAATACTGTATCTATTAAAACTGGAGCAAAAAGAATAACAATTACAACCTGAAGGGGAATAGTTACGTCTAGGGCAAGGCAAATATTTAAAATTGATTCCCATGTTGATGGATAGAGCTTTATTAGCTACTAACCTATCTTAAGTCTCTAAACAAAAGTAACGTCTCGGGTATGACAGGAGAACTCAAAGCTGTCAGAGATAGAAGCAGTGGTGGGTTGCTACCGGTTCTCCCCGGTTCGAGAGAGCCGGTAGTGGAAATCTTCATAGGAGAATGAACCGGTTCGCTTTGAATATCAGTTGGGTCTTCCCTCCCACCCCCATGCTATACTTACCTTTATTTCTTTTGTTCTTTGGTCAGCTGTAAGGCGTGGCAGAGTGGATTGCCATGCCTCAGCTGTTTTTTTACTCAATGAGCTTGCGCAAAGTGCAAGTTCAGCGATCGCGCGCAAACCACGTGCGCGATGCAAACCGGTGGTAAAACTGATTAGAACCCACCACTGGATAGAAGGTTATGTATGGCCCAGTGTAGTTGCTTCTCTGCTCATGCTTTACCGTTCATATTCCAGAATGTATTATAGAAAAAAATATCTCAAACTGCTTAATCTAAAAGTGAATATGGCAATGTCAGCTCCTGTATATGAACAACTAATAAGTGGCTGAGGACTTGAACCAGGAAAGTTAATTTTCCCAGATGGCTAGAACTTTCTTGCTGTGTTTGGAAAATGAAACCTGCCCCTTTCATTTAGCAGAAAGATCAAACAGCAGGTTGGCAATTTAAAATATGAAAGAGGGATTAAGGGCTGTGAGTTCAGCTAGAATGGCTGGAATTATTTGCTATCCTCTATGAAGGCAGAGTAGAAACAGGATTTTTCTGCCTATTTCTCCCGTCCTTTTAAATAGCCTTCTGACATGGGCAAACAAAAGCAGAGTTTACAAAGACACTTTGATTTCCAATGTCCAAGTATTCCACTCTTAGAATGGGGCATTGTGATGGTATTCAAGTCAGTTTTACTAAACATGTTGAAACTTACTTTTGAATAGAAATGCAATAATAAAGAATTATATACTATGCTATGCATATGCAACTTTATGGCATTTTACGCACATGTCTTGCTCCAAAAGTGCATAAATGTAGCCTTATAATTGCTCCTTTCAACAGATTTATGAATGGCTGTAGCAGTTATGCAGCAGGCAAACATTTTTGCTGCAGCTAAAGGACATTTCCAATCCCATAATAGCTTGCCATGAAGATAATTAATAATTGGCTGAGAATATGGTGGATTTTTTTTGAATGCATGAGGAATATTTAAAATAGTCGCATGTATCTATCTTTGAATGTTTCATAACAATCAAGCAAATACCCTTGCCTAACAATAAATGGGATTTATTAATAGAAGTCTTAGAAGAATAGTTGCATTCTATGAGCATACTTTCAGTTTATCTACATCTATCTATATCTAAACTATCAATTCTCTTATCATCCATCTATCTTATATAGCCATCAATTTCATCAAAGGTGGGCTGTGTACAATAAAGCTAAAACAGTACATAAATACATAAACCACATCATGAAAAATATTAAATACTATAAAAAATAGCAAAATAAGGAAGTAACAGATAAAGGGTAATAATAATAATAATAATAATAATAATAATAATAATAATAATAATAGAGCCACCTCACAAATTCACCAGTCCCCTGGGATTCCTAGGCTTATTGGCATAATTAGGTCTTAAGGGTCCTTCAGAAACTGTGATGAGGCCAACATTACACTGAGGGAGAAGATTCCACAATGTGTGCACCAGAGCAGAAAAAGCCTGCTGACTTTTGGCCACCAAGTATAGTTCCTTAAATAACAGAACCTGTCCTTTCTACTGAATCTGGTGGAATGGGCAGAGGAAATTAGGGAGAGGCAGTCACTCAGCTAAGCTGGTCTCAAGACATGAAGAACTTAAAGGTCAACATCAGCACCTTGAATTGGACCCAGAAAAAGACTGGTAAGCAATGCAGCTTGTGAAGCAGAGATATAGAATGTTCTGCTCGAGACACACTGTTACATTTTGTACCAGTTGTGATTGGCGCAACTACACTAAATCTCACCCATGCTTAGATGTCGGTCTGAGAGTAACAGAAAGGGAATTTGCAAAAATTATGACTTTTTACTTCAAAATATTTAGCAAATGTGCTAACAATGTTTATCAGAAGTATAAACCAAACAGAAATTTAAATCTTAAGAACAGAAATGATATATAATCTTTTTGCCTTTCAACATTAACTGTTAGAACAAATCTATTTATTTAAATGAAAAAGTGTGTACTGTGGATATATCTTTCTGTCAAGAGTTCACAGGAATTAACAAATTTATACAACATCATCCAGTTACAAACTGATTGTCTGCTTATAGATTAATCTGAGAGGAATATCTATCCCTTGAGCTTCTTAACTGCAACAAGATACAAATAAATCCTGAGAAATAAGAGAACCGCTATAGACGGTAGCCACATTTTTCGCTCAAATAGCCCAAAGTGTTGTGTTCTGCAAATTGTTTAGTTCCTTTCTTTTTTATGCAAATCTTAGACCTCATCTGTACTACATTATGGATAGTAACAATCCAAAAGAATTTGAATAGATATGGTTAGAGATATAAAAACAAGTCCAGTAAGTGAATGAAACTGAGTGTGTTTAGCTTGGAGAAACTTGAATAGATGATAATGTTCTTCAAATACTGGAAGAGATATTTTATCATGTATTCAATTAACAAGTGAACATTTTGCCTTATAAGTGGAATATAGATTTCAATGCTAGTCAATTCTTTAAGCTATATTTGTATCTTTTTAAAATTTATTTTCACCATTACGCTTATAGTTCTTTCATTTTGATTGTATCTTCAGTTGTTATTTTTGTTCGTTAAATTAACAATTTAAAAAATTGACTACAATACTCAGGCTGTATTGGGATGAGTCATAAAGTGGAAGAAAGAAGGAGAAAGAAAGAAAAATGTTCCTACATACAGATTTTCCTAACATGCTAAATCTTAAATCAAGGTTAGTAAAACTTAATTGCAATGAAAATCCCAAATAAAGGTTAATAAAACATAATTGGTGTGTTTACAGAATTATTTCTGTCCAATCAATCATACAGATTAATGCAATAGCCTGATCCAGATAGTATATGGCAATGCTTGGCTAACCATTATATGGCAATGCTTGACTAACCATTATACACACTGCATTTCAACAAGCAAACATGTTTGACTAGTCTAGTCTAGCATGTCATATAAACACAATTTACAAAGTTTTCAAATTCAGCAGTGAGATTTGCAAGCTTGACAGACACATTCATAGGAAATAAATCACAGAATATTGCATTCCACAGCTGGAATAGGATTAATTTATATCTTGATTTATCTTGTTAAAATC